CTGCCTGTGGCATGCAGGCGGTGCTGGGCGGAGAGCATAGAGGAGCGGCCGACCTTTGCAGACATTGTCGCGGAGCTGAGGTGGGCGGGGCGCATCCTCGGCTCCCGCATGTTGCATTCCTGGGCCGTGTTGCATTTTGGCAAACCAGCCCCTGCGTCGGCGTCAGCTGCTGGCCTCCTTGCTCCTCTCTGCTGGGGCCGGCATTGCTTGTATCCCTTTCCGCACAGCAGGGCCGCATGCCGGTCTGTGCTGCAGGTGTTTGTTGGAACAGACGCCCAGCTGACCGTGCCAGCTGGCCACATTTGATGCTCCCCTCGAGTGTTGATATATAAGTATTGCTTTCTACTTGAACAAGCTACGACAGCCCAGTATTGCTTGGGTTGGTTTTGCCCAACCTCGCTACGCGCATGCGCAAGGCATGCCCGCCCGTCCACGCTTGCTTGTACCCGCCTCTACCGCCTCTGCACTGACGCACCTTGCTGCTTTCTGTGATCTGTGTGTTTGAATATTGCTTATGTGAACGATACAGCTGATCCATATCCCACAGCAACACGTTCCAATCAGCCGCGGCAGCAGGGAGCAAGGTGCCCTGCCTGGGGATGGTACGGGCTGGCGGGAGAGTGTGGGACGGCGCTACCCCTTCCGCACTCCGCTGCTGGTCGCCCCACAGGTAGCAGGCACGATATGGAAGTCCTAATCTGCCCTGCTTCGCCATAATTGTGCGAGGAACCCTCAGTGTTGGCTGGCCCCTGGGCCAGCACTGGCGGCGGCAGTGCTGGGGACGCACTGAGGCGGCACGGCGCCACATGGCAGGCTCAAGTGCTGGCAAAGTCGCTTGGGTGCCTGCCGTGACTCAAAAATCAACCATGACATTCACGTGGTCCCAATCAAGCAGCTCCAGCGATCAATGACTCCGCGCATATCAAAGCGAGGGTCGGGGCCTAGGAGGCGGTCACGCCGGCGCCTGCTGACCTCCGTTCTGTCAGCCGCGCTGGTAGTGGTGGGCCTGCGCCTCCTGCTATCCAGGCGCCAAGAGCTCGACGGTCAGCCTGCCCAGGGGTGAGCGGCGGCGGCGGCGGCGGCGGCGCCGACACCCCAGCCTGCTCACCCTCACCCGCCTCCCAGCCCAAGCTCGAAAAGCTCCCTTGCTTGCCTGCAGGACCCCCGAACCCCGGCCCTCGGCCCTCGGCAGCCAAACCGGCAGCAGCCTGTCGGGCCTGGATGGCGGCAGCGGCGGCGGCAGCGGCGGCGTGGTCGGTGGCGGCGACAGCGTACCAGTGGCAGGCCATGCGGCCAGCCGCCGCCTGGATCTCAACACCTCTGCCCTGCTGTTTGTCACCTTCAGCGCAGCTCCGTTCTGGGAGCTTCTTTCCAACTGGGTACTGAGCATACAGGCGCTGCCCGGCCCGCCGCAGTTTTTAGTGGGTGCTCTGGACGCGCAGACGGCGGCAGAGTGCGAGGCGCAGGGCTGGCGCCACGTGACGCTGCTGCCCGCCGGCGGCGCGGCGCGAGTGCCGTCGCGCGACGCGGCGCGGCGGCGGCAGCAGGCGGAGGCGGAAGACCGCAGCAGCGCGGCGGCGCGGGCGGGGCTGGTGCTGGGACTGCTGGAGGAGGATGGGATGGAGGCGGTGGTGGTGAGCCACCCAGGTGTGTGGGGTGGCTGTGGTTGGGGTGAGGGGTGGCGTGGCGTGGCGTTGGGTGGGGTGGTGTTGGCGTGGCGTGGTGGGGTGAGTAGCAGCCCTGCAGGCGCATTGGGCGGAGGTCGCCTGCGTCCCCGCCCGCGCTTTCCTTCTGCCGGCCATCAGCAGGCACCCCGCTCTGAGCCGCCGCCACGTGTGCGCTGGCCGGGGCCGCTGCCGCAGACACTGCCTGGCTGAGGGATCCTGCAGAGTACCTGGCGCAGCACCCGGCCGCCGACCTGCTCATCTCCACAGGCTGCCTGTCGCATGAGGTGGGTGGGGCGGTACAGGCGGCGGTACAGGCGGCGGTGCGGGTGGTGGTACAGGCCGGGGAGACGGGCAAGCAAAGGCGCCAAAGGCGGGAAAGGGGGGGAGCCGCCAGGCAAAGCGGGCCACCGCAAGGAGAGGGCAGCGAGGCGGGGGAAGACGGCTTTCCCTTTAACTTGCCCCCTGCCCCGCCCCGAGCCGGTGATGAGCAGGCCTGGAGGCGGCGCCTCCTTTGCCTCCCGGGCTGAAGCCTTGGCAAGGGCCGCTTTTTCCTCGACCTGCCGGTTGGACCTGCGTTGCCCCAGGGCGGTTGGTTGCTTGCGTGGCAGCTGGAGGAGGCTGGGGCACCCGGCCAGCCGTTGTCGGGCCAGGGGCGGGCCTTCAACACGGGGGTGTATGCCGTGCGCAAGACGGCGGCGGCGCGGGAGCTGCTGGCGAGCTGGCGAGACGCGCTGGGGGACCCCGAGGCGGCGGCGGCGGCGGCGGCGGTGCAGGTGAGGCGGGGAGGGAGTTGAGTGAGCGAGCGAGTGAGCGAGCGAGCGAGTGTCTCCGCGCCTCGGCTGCATCTCGGCATAGGCAGGTTGCCTGCGGTGTGCGTGGGGAGGGGGGCTGTCCGGGGTCGAGGCGAGGCAGGGAGGGGATGCAGGCAACCCCTACATTCCTCCGGACCGCCACTCTCCCTGCCCTAATAGAGGGAGGCTGCCCACGGCAGCCCTCCTCGGCCTCTCCCGCATGCCGTCCCCGCTGCCCCCTACCCGCCTGCCTGCATTTTGTCAGGCGCCGCCCCTCCTGCCCCTCCCCCCGGCTGCCTGCCTGCCCGCAGCCTCCCCCGCCTTTCAACGAGACGGCGCCGAGGGATGCGGGGCAGCGGGCGCTGAGGCTGCTGCTGGAGGAGGTGCGGCGCTGCCGGGGCCTGCCTGCCGGCCTGCCGGCCTGCCGGCCCCGCCATGTGCCTGCCTGCCTGCCTGGCTCGCTACCTGCCTGCATGCCTGCCTCCCATATCTCACGCTCGTGCATCGAGCGCCCACCCGCCTGCCTGCCTGCCTGCCTGACCCCTGCGCCTGCCGCCCTTGCCGCCGCCTGGTGGGGCCGGCCTGCAGGGGCAGGACAGCCTGCCTTCTGCGCCGGGAGACCCCCGCACGGTGCTGATGCGGGGCGGCTCGCTGGCGGTGCACCCGCTGCCAGTGCTGCTGTTCCCCGGGGGCCACGTGGCGTTTGTGCAGCGCCTGCCCGAGGGGTGAGGCCGCTGGGGGTGGTGGTGGTGGTATGTGCGTGTGTGTGTGCGTGTATGTATGCCTGTGTGCAGCATGGGCATGCGGGGCTGTGTGCCGTATGCACGCCACGTGTGTTTGACCCCTGTGCCCCCCCATGCATGCATGCATGTGTGTGTGTGTGTGTGTGTTTCTGCCTGTGTGTGCAGCAAGGGCGTGCAGCCTTACGTGGTCCACGCCAACGGTGACCGCTGGTACGGCGCCGACGGCGCCCAGCCGGAGGCCACAGCCGCGGCCAAGCGGGGCAGGCTGAGGTGGGCGTGGCACCGGGGACGCGCCGCGGCGGGGGCGGCGGGCTGAGGTGGCGGCGGGAAACGAAGAAGAAGAAGAAGCAGAACCGCATGTCGCGCCGCGGCATGGAGGGAGCAGCGCGGCGCGGCCCACCGCAGCCACGTTGTGGGGTTGCCGGGCAGCACCCCCCAGCCCAGCCCTCACCCCCTCCCGCTCATGCGCCTGTGCCTGCCCCCGCGCTGCCACACCCCCGGGCACACCCCCCGGCATACAGGGAGTTTGGGCTGTGGCGGGTGGACGGCGCCGACCACTACGCTGCGCCCAGGGCCCGCTACCTGACCTATAGCAACGACGTGCAGGCGTTCATAGAGGAGCTGGCGGCGCGGCGCCACGGCGGCGCCATGCCCCCCTTCTACCGGCACCTGGCCGCCATGGGCTACCAGCAGGCGCAGTTCATGTGTGTGTGTGTTTGCATGTATACGTATGTGTATGTGTGTGAGGGTGTGGCGGTGGCGGTGGTGGCGGTGGTGGGTTGTGTGAGAGATTGTGTGAGAGAGAGTGTGTTGTATGGGTCGGTGGCGGCGGTGGTGGCGGCGGCTGGCATCGGGCGGCTGCCTGCCCGCCCCGCCCGCCGTTCCCTCGCTGCCACCTGGCACCACCTGGCACTGCCTGCCTGCCTGCCGCCTGCAGGGACGCGCTGGCAGCGGCCCGCATGCTGCGCCGCACCCTGGTGCTGCCGGCCTCCTGGTGCTGGTGCGACATGGACTGGTCGCCCGCGGTGCTGCAGACGTGCACCATCAGGCGAGCCTGGGAGGAGGCCTGGTGGCGCGCGCGTGTGTGTGTGTGTGTGTGTGCGCGTGTGTGCGCGTGTGCGGTGTGTGTGTGTGTGCAGCGTGGTGTGGTGGAGGGCTTGGCGGCGGCTCGCCGGGCGGCGCCGCCAGCCCCGCCGCCCGCCGCCGCGCCGCCCCCGCCGCCGAGCTGCGCCGCGCCGCCCCAGCCTCGCCGCGCGCCGCCTGCCGCCCCGCGCCGTGCAAAGAAAAAAACAAAATGCGAGTCCGCTCCCGCGCCGTGCAGCGGCTCCGACCTCCGCCTGCCCTTCCGCTGCCCGGCCGATTACGTCTTCCACATCCCTTCCATGGAGAGGGAGCGGCTGGCCTACCGCATGCCTGGCTTCCTGGACAGCCCCCAGGTGCGGCCGGGCCTGGGGGCTGGGCCGTGCTGTGCTGTATAGGCGGCGGGGAGCTGCGCACGGGGTGCCCCCGCGTCTGGGATCCAGCCGCCCCTTCCTGGCCGCTTCTGCGATGTTTGCAAGTACCGTGTTTTTTGTAAGTAACGACGCCTGCTGGTTTCCTGCCTCAGGTGCCGAAGGCGGTGCGGGCCGACCGCGCGGAGCTGCGCATGGCGGCCGCCCGGCCCGACCCCGTGCAGCCGGCGGCGGCGGCGGCGGGCGTGCTGTGGCCCAACATGACTCAATCGCAGCTGGTGGCGGCGGCGGCACACGCGCAGAACGCCTCGGTGCTCGCCATCAGGTGCTTGCCGTGCAGTGGCGCCCCGTGGGACGGGCGGGGTTGGAGGGAGAGGCGGCGGCTTGCTGGCGGCTGCTGGCAGTGCGTCTTCGGTGGCGCCCCGGCTGTGGCATGCACCTCCCTGGCGCCCCCCCCGGGCGCATTCCCCGGGCGCCGCCCCTCCCCCGCCCCCCCCTCCAGTCTTGGCACCGCTGCCCTGGCCCGCCCAATCTCCGGCCCCGGCCCATTCTGCCCGTCACCTGCCCCCTCCCTCCCTCCCTCCCCT